CTCTTACATGATCAGTTGGATACAAAGTCAATTACAAAACCATCCAGATGAGCTTTGGGAGGATGGAGTGGAGGATTACTTAATCCATGCTCTATGCATCAGGGTAATTTATCAGTATCTGCAATTTTACTCACTATCTCTAAGTCATCTAGTGCACCATTCGGCTGAGATGAAGTCATCCTGGGAGGTCATTTCTATAGTTTTGTAGTTATTATTATATGGGAATATTTTGTGATTACAAGGATGTCGACCTGACATTATTTGGTGAACTTTTTTGTTTATGTAAGTACTTGGCAATCTCATTATCCTTCGGCCAGTTTGTTTTGGTGTAAAAGAGCATGCGGCATTGCGACTCTTGGCCAGCATTTGGTGCTATTCATACTAAACATATATTTTTCACAAAAAGGTCTTGTAAAGTATGTTGTTGAAATTTTAAACAAACATTTAAATTTAATTATTAGTACTGCTAGACAGTAGACACCATAGTAATACTGACCCTGCCATCCTCATGGGATTGTCTTATCTGATGTGAATCCTTTAGAATCACTACCACTATTTGTTGAGTATTTTTGGACCATGAATGGCACTGTCAGTTATTCATGTGTTGTCAAATGATTGATTATATGAGAGGTGTCTAATGCTTTCTAGTGGAAGTGCGAAGGTCCACCGCATGTAGTGGCCTGAGTAAAATCTCTCTCTCTCTCTCAGTCTCTCTCTCTCTCTCTGTCTCTATCTATCTCTCTCATCCTCTCTGTATCCAACCTCTATCTAGGAGCACATGTTCAGATTAATGAATTAATCATTTATTCTTTTTGGCATCCCTTTCACTGATACACCACAATGAGTGAGGAGACAAATTTTGTGGAACTTAAAATTTTAGGTACAAAAGTTACTTTCTGTAGTTTACTGTTCGTTACTTGTTGTCGTCAATTGTAGGAGTTTTTTCGTGATGCTGTTAATTGGTCGAGAACAAATGCCGTGAAAGGAAGGGGTATAGCCAAGAATCCGTCTGAAGATGCTCGGACTAAGCCTCTATTCGGAATTGGCAAAAGCAGTCATACATTGTTTCGCCCGACATTGTTTTCGGACAAACCTATGTTTCCTGCAGCCACAACAGCAAGCTCTGGAACCCCAGGGAGACCTGCACTTCTCTTTAATAATGGCCCTTTCACATTTGGAGGTATTATTTCAATATAATTGATGGAATGTTTATATATACATATTCACTATGTAGCATGTATCTACTGCATGCAATCGTGAATGGCGCATTGTGAAATTATATATTCATTACAAGATTTGATGTATGTGTTTGCAAGTTATTCAAGTATGAATATGTTCCCAATTAGAATATATAACAATTAGTTCCATGATATCTTAAGTCTCTTTTTGTATAATTAGTTCCATTGCATACTGGGTTCCCATATGTGGGTGATTTAACAATACCTTTTCCCATTCAATCATTAGTTCCACTGTACTGGGTTCCCATATGTGGGTGATTTAACAATACTTTTTCTCATTCAAATAAAGAATTCCGTACTGGTTTTTTTCTATCGATAAACGATGTTAGTTCGGTTGAGAGTGTACTTAAATTCTGTACTTTGGTTCTTTACCCTCCATAATTGACGATGTGTATGAAAACTGTGATCATCTTGCTTAATTTTGGATACTGCTTTGTGCTCATGGTCTCAGGAAGCGAGGTTTCAGTTCCTGGAATTGGAAATGCCAATGCTGTTACGTCAAATGAACCTGATGGAGGTAAGGGGTTATAAGGTCTTTATGATTAAATTATGGTCAATAAAGCCTGTTAATTTCTCTGGTTAATCTATCACGGCTTATGTCCACTTTATGATCATCCGTATTATATGGTTTGAGTGCTTGTTGCGTTTTTAATCAAGTTATCATTTGCTTGCATTTTCTTATAAAATTAATTTCAAGAGCTTAATCAAGTTATCATTTGCTTGCATTCTCTTATAAAATTACTTTCAGGAGCTCAATGCCTATGTCCACAATACAAAATCCTCCTAGAATGACCTCTAATTGTGAGTTTAGGATGGAGATTCCTTGTAAAAATTATTATGTTATTACTGTCTTCTCGAGGAATGACTTCCTCTGTATTAGAAACTGCACCTAGTAAATACTTTTGTTGATATGGAGTTGTACCTTTTTGTCCAATTTAAAACCATTTGTTTATGTTTATTGTACACACAAACAAACAAAAAAAGGATATATTTGAATCTTGAGAGACTGCTTAGATAGGCATTGTATGTATCCCAAACTAAATTATCTTAGACCATGTAAGTGAAGAGGATTCATCTACTTTAGTGTATAGAGGAGTTTCGGTGGGGGATTGAACCTTCACCTTATAGGCACTTTACTAAAAGTCGAACTCATCACATAATTCTTTTAATTATTTTGAACAAGTTTTGAAGATTTACGCAAGAGAGGAAAAAGTGTAGATTTTGATAAGTATATGTTATTATTTATGATATGTTTTTATTTGATGAAAAAATTACTAAACACACTAATATTAGTAGATTATAGAAACTTTGACATTTTGACCTAGTAAATAGAAAAGATTTAAATTCGGTAAAAATATACTTGTTAAAAAAATCATTACATATTTATCATATTATATTATTAATGTTAATAATATATTAGTAAAAAATTGCTATAAAAAGGGATTAAAATGCGTGGGAAAATTTCATAGGTTTATTTCTAGAGAATCTTCTCTTTAGTAATATATAGATTTCACATCGTTCGACAAACATAAGTGTTTTTCTAATGGTGGATCAGATAATCTCTGACAACCAGTAGGACAGTAACGAGCTAGAGTCGCCAAACAGTCAGCCTTAAAGTTGGCTTCTCTGTAACAATGAATCACTTTAGTCTCTCATTCCCGACTAAGCAGTTACCGAATGGGCCGAACCAAGCTACCATGCACTCCAAGATTAGCCATTGAGTCCCCATTCGCCATTGTCACCACACTAGTATAATCTACCTCCACAATAATATTGCGGCAACTCAAATCCCAGACTAATAAAAGGCCTTGAAGGAGGCCCATAATTTTGCTCTTGTGATAGAACAATACCCGATATCCATTGTGAAGCCCCCAAGCCAATTTCCATCAACATCACGCGCCAATCCCCCCGCCGACGCCATCCCGGACGAGTTCAAATAGGATTCATCAGTGTTGATTTTAACAAACCCCACTCCAGGAGCTTGCCAACTAATGAACGGGATTCCACGTCCCACTCCAATTCCTCCCAAGTGTCTCTCAGCAGAAGCGACTAACTTGATCCCATGAACAAATGAGCTAACCTCCCGAATTTTATTAGCCGCGACAAACTCCTTGTTCGATTTTTTTTTTCTTTTTTTCATTTCTTCCTCTCCAAATTCGTCACATCATGACTCTAAAAACGTCTCCCATCCAACAACCTCAATAGCTAAATCATTTTGAAGATTCTGCATCAACCAATCACGTAACTTCAAGTTAAACAATTCCGTTTGTTGGTCACTAGGGATCAAGCTCTTCCAAACCTATTTTGCACCCAAGAAATCACGAAGACGGTGCAGAGTTGATTCATCGTGTCGCCTACATAATGAACAAGTCGACGACCCTGTGAGATGCTTCTGTCGCCTTTCAACATTATTTAACAATTTTCCTTTGACAGCAAGCCAAAGAAACTGGCGTACTCTTTGCGGAACAATCCGTCTTCAAATTATCCTCCATAAAGCTCGATCACTAGTTGGAGTTGTTGTAAACAACGACGAATAAGCTGACTTTGTTGTAAAACATCCATTCTCTAAAAATCCCCATTACATAAACAAAATGGACAATATGGGGGTCTACAAATGTTTCAATTATATTTGGTTAGTGACGGTACCATTTATATATGCATACTTTTCTAAATTACAAGTCGTATTCTAAAAATAATATAAATACAATTATGACATTTCATAATATAAGTATACATTGTTATTAAAAAAAGTGACAAATCGATCTACTAACGATTGTACCGTCTCACATAAAACTTATAATATTTAATATCTGCCTAGCATGTCATATTCTTTTTTTTTATATATATAAAAGTCTAATATAATAAACGAAAATGAAAATTTGCCTTGAAAATTGACAAGCATTTTAGGTCCAATAATCTATTCCAAATTATGAACAAGATTCTTGTCCAACCTTATAGAAGGTGATTTTTTTATCTTTATTTTTTCAACCACTTAAAATGACATTCGGTGCTCCATTAAAAAAAATTAACACAATACCCCCCGTGTAGTACACGGGTGATAAGTTAAAAAATATATGAAAAAAGTTATTGTTACACTAAAAATGTTATTTAAAAATTTTGATGGACTAATTGATGAAAAAAAAAAGAGGAATAGACAGAAATTGATTTGTAAATCGTAATTTAGGAGAAAAATATAAGAGAAATTATAAGATGATAGATTGCTACTTGCCCCAAACTAAGAAAAGAAATTTGTACTAGGAGACCAAAAAATAACAAAATTAAATGTACACTTACCAAGTTTGAAAAAAGTTATTTATGTCTCTACTAAGCCTAATTCCAGAGCAAAAATGAATACACAAACAACATTCCGAAGCATAGATTTTCGCCATGTCAGCATCCAAAGCGTGTGAGTTTGCCACTTAGGCTCAACACGTTTTGAGCCTAAGTGGCAGACTTACAGGCTTTGAATTAATATATATGGAGGGATTATAATGTTCCACACACCACATTATTTTTCTGCTTTATTAATTCAACAATAAATGTTTAATAAAGGGATTTTATGCAATTTCTATTAAAAAAAATGTCTCCATCAACAATAGGAGAAAAAGTTTGAAATAAATCAGATTAATAATAACAACTTATTTTCCTAATGACAAATAAACACATAATGATTAAAAATTTAAAACAAATGTAAAGTTTGCAGTGGAAATAAATAATTCTCAGTTTATTTTTGGGGAGTCTCATTGTTTGTTTTACACAAAAATGAGAAATAAAATCGTATGGTTGATTGGGGAGTCTCAGTTGACTCCTGCAATCAACTCCTCGTTCATCTGCAAACTTCTATATTTCAATCTTCTCTTTCATTCAATCATTTTCCTTTCTGCAACACACAGCTGACAAAAAGGACTAGCAAAGGGCCACCCATATTCACTGCTTATTGCAAAAGGACACATTTTTCATCTACCCCTTTACTGCAAGCAACAAAAGCCGCATATGCTGATATGCCTCACTGAAAATTCATGAAGCTTTCAGAAAGTTGGGCCTTTTTCTCGAGCCCCGGTGCTTTAAACCATCCCTTTTTGCTGGGTTGGTGTTAGATTCAGGTAATTCGGCCTATTTTTACAGGGCCCTCTGAAAAACCATACAATTTTTTGTTTGGATAATTATTAGATATATTTCTCCGTTCTCGGTATTCTCCATAGTGATTCTATTGTCTTGTCTGGTAAACTTCTTGCTTGGTGAGCTGTTTTTGAGCTGCAATTGTTCATGTCACCCATCTGATTTTACATTGGGAATTGTTTGCAGTTTTTATATGTAGCTGCTAGATACTTCAGCTTTTACATTGTAGTCATAGTTCCTCAATCCATCCATCTGTTTTCCGAATTATCGCCTTACCGGTTATTTATCTGTATTCCTGTCCTTAAGATAGCAAGGAAAAAAGAAAAAGAAAACCCAAATCTTCTATTTATTTAGCCAATTTGCTGTTTCAAGTTTAACGTTCCCTTTCTCATATAATACAACATAAACTTCATTGCTTGGTATTTCGTTGATTGTTTTTTCACCATTATAATCACTCCACAACCCTCAAGAGCCCTTACTCTCCCTTCAATCCCCACAAGAAAAACCATGTTTAACCACTAGCTAAGATAAAGCAAAAAAAAAAAAAAAAAAAAATGTCTATTATCTGCGGTTTGCCCCTTCTCGAGTGCGTCTACTGTCTAGCCTGAGCCCGTTGGGCCTGGAAACGCTGCCTACACACAGCGGGCCACGACAGCGAGACGTGGGCCCACGCCACTCCTGAGGAATTCGAGCCCATTCCCAGGCTTTGCCGCTACATACTCGCCGTTTACGAAGACGACTTAAGAAATCCTCAATGGGAGCCTCCTCGTGGCTATGGCATCGACCCCGACTGCTTGATCTTCAAAAAGAACTACGAGGAAACACACTGGCTAGCGCCACCTTATCTGGTCTACCTAGACCACCCGCATGCCGACATAGTTCTTGCCATAAGAGGCCTTAACCTGGCCAAGGAGAGCGATTACGCGGTTTTGCTCGATAATAAGCTTGGGAAGAGGAAGTTTGACGGGGTATATGTTCATAATGGGCTTCTGAAGGCTGCGGGCTGTGTGTTGAATGCCGAGTGTGATGTTTTGAGGGAGTTGGTGGAGAAGTACCTGAGTTATACTCTGACCTTCACAGGGCACTCGTTGGGGTCAGGTGTGGCGGCTTTGTTGACAATAGTGGTGGTGCAAAATCGGGATAGGCTGGGGAATATTGATCGGAGGAGGGTGAGGTGTTATGCTATTGCGCCAGCCAGGTGTATGTCGCTTAACCTGGCGGTTAGGTATGCTGATGTCATCAACTCTGTCGTTTTTCAGGCGAGTTCGTTTTTTCTTTTTTTCTTTTTTTCTTTTTTTTGGTTTTCTGGTTTATGTGTGTTGTTTGATTAGTTTGGAAGGGGTTATGTCAGGAGAAGTAATAATTTTGAAGTGAGAGTTAATTGAGCATCTTGTAAAGTGTTGAATTTGTAGCTTGTAAAATGTTTATCTCTAAAGATTTCGAATCTGTATGACTTAGATTGGTTTTTTAGGCCCCCTTTGAGTTCAATGTGTCTGATTTTTGAAACCAGGATTTTTCGTCATTTTGTTCCTAATAGGCGTGAGGATGAAAGGAAGTGAACAATAATAGAATCTACGTAACTTATGATTTTAGAATCTCTATAACTTATGATTTAGCCGTATTTTATTCTCTCTAGTGGTTGTGATTTTCATTTGAGCATTTTTTTGGTTTGAAAGAGTTGAGCATCTGATGATCTGACTTCATGTTATTTTAGTTAGTAGTTGAAACTCATAAAAAACATTGCTTTCTGGCCTGCTCGATCGTCTTTTACATATAGATTACACCGTTCTTTTTAAGATAAGGCATTATATTGAAATTCAGCATATACGTTGATGCTATTCAGAAATAAAGGATTGCTTTTTTTTTTTTTTTAACTGAACAGGATGACTTTTTGCCCCGAACAGCTACCCCTTTGGAAGATATATTCAAGTCTCTTTTCTGGTAAGAAACAGAAAAGCCGTTCGTTTGTATTTTAATATATATCCACCTATTTTAACTTGCGCAACTGTTACATTATAGTTTTTAATTTTATCTGGTGAACAGTTTACCTTGCATATTATGCCTGAGATGTGTGAGGGATACATTCATATCCGAAGACAAATTTCTTAAAGATCCAAGAAGATTATATGCTCCTGGCGGCCGCCTTTATCACATAGTCGAGAGAAAACCTTTCAGGTGGATTCACTACATTTTTTTTTTTCTATCAGTGAATTTCATACAACTTCCAAAACTTAATTTTCAAAAATTCCCTTTATGCATAATAGATGTGGAAGATTTCCTCTTGTTGTGAAGACAGCTGTGCCCGTAGATGGGAGGTTCGAGCATATAGTTCTCTCTTGTAATGTGACCTCCGATCACGCCATAATCTGGATAGAGAGAGAAGCCGAACGAGCTCTAGAAGTAAAGTTCACATCTTTCTTTCTCTCTGTGTTTGGTTAGCATATAAGTTAACTTATAGCTTATTTGATTAGTTTATAAGCTTATTGTATTCAAATAAGCTCCGTTTGGTAGGACGAGTTTTTTTAAAAAGTTCGAACTTATCTCATAAGCTTCCTTAAGGTAGTTTTTCAAATATGCCCATTAAAATTTTTATTTCAGCTAATTTTACCAAACACTTTTATCATATAAGCATAAGGTATCAGCTATAAGCTCGAAATTCACTTAAAAGCTATAAGAGCTAGCTTATAAGCAAACGAGGAAAATAAAAATGGTTTTGAGGTAAATTTTTCACATAGTTGATGCAAGAGAAAGATGACACGTTGGAAATCCCGGCAAAACAAAGGATGGAACGCCAAGAATCTTTAGCCAAAGAGCACGTTGAGGAGTACAGAGCAGCCCTACGCAGGGCGGTGACTTTAGCAGTGCCCCATGCATTTTCTCCCTCCAAATATGGCACGTTTGACGAGACAGATGTCGAGGACTCACAGCACTCGGGTGGGGACTGCTCCATTGGATCATCGGCCCATAGTAGGAGACGGGAAAACTGGGACGAAATAATCGAGCGCCTTTTCGAGAGGGACGAGTCGGGTAAATGGTGCTCAAGAAATCGATGGTGGTTCGTTGAAAGGGCTCCATCGTCGTTTTTGTTGTATCTCTTTCGTATTTTTTTAATTACAATTATATATATATATATACATATATATATATATATATATTTTTTTTTCTTTAGGCTGAGAGTGTGTGTACTGTGTAGTATTTCTGTTGTAATGTATGTGAAAGGGAGCATATAGATAGATTGTTGGAGGAAATAATTGTGTCATTGTACAACTTGCTCATGGTTTGCTGTACCTGTATAGAAGTAAATTAGACTTTAGAGTAATGCAAATTGTTTTAGTGATAAAAACACACACTTTACACTTCAATTTTTTTTTTGTTTTTTTTTTCTGCACTTGATTTATGATTTTATAATTTCAAAATTCAAGTTGGCATGATTTGACCAATGCTTGACAGAGACAATCCCATTTCAAAATATAAATGTTTGTTTGTTTGTTTTAACTGCAGTATTATCAGCAAAGACATATCAAGCAAGAAAACTTGAAATTTTCCCATTTTAGATTGTGATGTTTCAATTTTTATTCATAAATTCTGCACTTGGCTAAATTGAGACGTTATCCTTCACATCATTAGTTTACAAATTGCCTTTGCTGTTCATATTTCACAACACTCAGTACTATAAATATTTAAGGGAAGAAAAAAGTAACATATTTAGGCCTAACGGTTAGATAAAAATATATATGTTTTCAAGACGAGAAGTCATACTCTAGTAAACAATATAAAAAAGAATAATAATATACGTATGCATTTTTTTTTCAAAGAATAACATAAGTATACATTTTTGTTGAAGAAAAAATGACAGATCGATTTGTCTAACCACAAATCGTTGATAGAGACTTATTGGGGTTTGGAAATGGAAAGGACCAAACGGCATTGTCTTAATTTTGTTTGGTCTATTTATATATATAGGAAAAGGACTCAAAGGAGCCCCCAATTAACATATTTTGAAAACCTAATTTTCCACTGTTAATTAGGAAAGGCGCCCAATTTGGCCAATTCACAAATTTTGAAAAGCCAAAACGACACCCAACGGCTACTATCCTTCCATTATCTAACACTCACTCTCCTTACGCTCCCCCACACACAGACACACACTACACCCAAAAGCGACGCCGGCCAAATTTCCTGCTCGATGGCCCCGTCGACGTCTGAGACCACTGCCGTAAAATCAAGCCGGAGTTCAAACCCCTCAAGAAAAGTGCGAATAATCGGGAAAATTAGGGGTTTTACGGACGGCGAATCTGAAACCCACGCCTCAGATTCAAACCCATGGATCACCGTCAAGAAATCGAAGGAGGACGTCCCTGCTGGAAAATCGACGGTGTTTCTCGAGAGTCAGTCCGCCAGGTAAGGGTCGTACTTGTTGTTGTTGTTGTTGTTTTTTTTTTTTTTTTTTTTTTTTTTTTTTTTTTTTTNTGGTATATGTGTTCTCGTTTCAATATCAGATCTCAGCGCTGTTTAAATTAACTTTGTTTTTTGGCTTACTTTTGGTGTTGGACTTTAGTTTTCCGATTGATCTGAGATTTAGGTGGTGACTGGTTAGTGCATATCAGCCGTATTTGTCAGGGGAGTAGCAAAATACTGTTTATGGGCTACTGGGTCTGTTATTTTGCAAATTCAGTTGTAATTTATACGTGAAGAGTTTTTTGTGCTAGTCTTTAGATGCCTCGAGTATTATGAAGACTAATCTCTCTATACAACTGTAATAGGTGACACATAAATTCGTGAAATACCTTGTTACTCATCTGGCTCAATATTCAAATAGGGAGCCTGATTGTCATTTTGCCTATTTGATGTTTTTTCCGGTCATGATTAGTAGGAAGGATGGGTACGAGCTGGACCATTGCTATGAAAAACATGATGACATCGGCCATATATACTCAAGAGAGATACAACCCATGATTTCAGACGTTTTTAATGGCCAAAATGCATCAGTTATTGCTGTAGGGGCAAAAGGGAGTGGCAAAACTCACAGCATCCAGGTTTATTCTTGTCTCTGTGACTCTTTCTGAAATGGTATTTTCTTTAAGACTGTAACTGCTGAAAATTACCAGTGCTTAACTTGCAATCTATTTGAAGGGGACTCAAGGAAAACCTGGTTTGGCCATGATGGCAATGGCCGAAATCCTTTCGAAGGCAGAGGAGCTGGGAAAGTCGGTTTCTGTATCCCTATACGAGATGACTCAAGAACACGCTAAAGATCTTTTAAATCCCGAGCATCCTACTATCCAAGTCTTGGAAGACTCTCGGGGAAAAATCAACCTTAAAGGACTTTCTCAGGCAAGAAATTGTGATTGTTATATTTGCACAAATTTCTGAAGTTGGAAACTTGCATTTGTCTATTACTCCTTGAAGGTTTTTTCTATATCTGTGTTGGTTATCTATTGTCTCTGTGCAGGTCCCGGTCAAATCTATGTCAGAATTTCAAAATATATACCTCAGCCAGGGAAATTTGCTGAATGCTCAAAAGTTACCAACCGATCATCCACGCAACAAGGGCTTGATGGTGCATATATTATCTGAAGATGACAAACTGACAGCTAAGCTCGCCAACAAGATTAATTTTGTTGATTTAGCAGGTTTCTACTTTATGAGAATCTCCATTTTCATTTGCATATTGTATATCTTTTTTTTCTAATGCATTCAGAATGATATTCCACCTAATTTCTCGTAACTGCTATTTTACCAGGGTATGAGGATCCTCGAAAAAGTAGCAGAGAAGGGGTCACACCCACTGAGAACAATAGGAAAAACAAATCGTTGTTTGCTTTACTTAGTGTTGTTAATGCAATTAACTCAAGCGAAAGTCGAGTGCCGTATCGAGAAAGCAAACTTACTCGAATATTGCAAGACTCCCTTGGTGGCACAAGTCGTGTTTTACTGCTTGTTTGCTTGGTATGGCTTTTGGAGCTTCACTAGTATTTGAATTAATCTTTTGTGTACAGGAAAAAAAGTTATACTGACTTTCTTCCTTTTTAAATTTTCTTATTGGATGAAGAAACCTTGCTTTTGCCAAGACTCTCTTAGTTTCATAACTTTAGTCTCTCGGACACGTAGAACCATTAAGCAAGTATTGACTGATTCTACCAATAGAAGCCAAAGTTCAGTCAAAGTGAAGGTGCTTTCTTCATTAGAAAGTGGAAAAGCAATGTCTACTTCATGTAGTGTGAAAAGGCAGGTTGGCAATAGTCGGTTTCTTTCTGCAAAGAAGGCTAGCGGCTCTGTTAAGCGAAGGTAACCCATATTCTTAGAAAATGTACCTAGAAGTTGAAGTAAATCAAAGTTATACATGTTCATTGATTCCATCTCTCTCTCTTCTTGAAGGAAACTCTTTGATGAAGTCAAGAAGGTCAGTCATTACAAGAACCAGGTAATATGTCTTCAAGTAATAAAAATGTGTCGAGTAAAGTTTATCCCTTTCTCCCCGTTTCTCCCCTTTCTTTTTCCCTTTTTTTTTTTTTTTTTTTTT